CACTAGACAACAGGACTTTTTCAGCCTTATGGGACCACCAAGGTCGTTATGGTTGATCCATCTTGACTGGAATGTTGGGATGGAGCATGTGACTCTATGTGGCTAAGAGTTTATACCACTCTCCTCCCTCAGCGGGAAACTAGACAGCAGACTTAGACTATAGCAGGAAGAGCTCTCTATGCTGTAGTTTACTTTCTGGAAATTGAGAATAAGGAAAATGCATGTAAGGAGCTCAGTGTGGCTCTGCACTTGAAGTTTCCAGTAAAAGTGGTTTTAGTCACTACTGTGCGTGTGTGTGCACACGCACGAGTGCATCTGCACAAACCAGCTCTCCCAGTTTGCCCAGCATCCCAGGAAACTGCTCTGTTGGCAAATCGGGATGGCTGGTCACCCTCCTGTGTACATGCACAGCAAAGGACCTGGAAGAGTGGGCACCAGCGCTCTAACAGGACTTAATTCTCAGAAGGAGTGGTTACAGATTCTTTTAATTTAATCTGTTATGCTGAGTTGTATACTCTAATGTTTTTCCATAAGTGTATGTGTTGGTTTTAGGATCAGAAGAAAACCAAAACCACATTTCTTCCAAACTGACATTTTTAAACACTTGAGTATAGCCTCTAGAGCTATTCATAGCTGTGAAACTGTGAAATGATTTCCAAAGTATACACTGAGTCAAATGTTAGCATGGAAAACACAGTATCAGTGGTTTAATTAAAGGCAGGTTATGAAGTGTATTAGTATGCAGTGTTTTTAGTGCTAATTGTCTGAGTGCCACTTTCGTGTTCACAGTAACACCTGTCTCGTTGGGTACTCAGGGGCCAATGAGATGATCTGTGTTAAAATCCCCAGCACTGGGTCAGCACTAGTTCTCCTCTGCTGTTCTATGACAGGTGGACCTCTGTGCTCAACTATCACCACTAGTTTCTGCAACGCTTTTGCTCCACGGAGGGAGAGAGTGTAAGTCGGAAGGGTTACTAATTCCTCAAAACCCACTCATCACAGGTAAAGTCATTTCCCGATCCTGCCATGTAAGCCATTGATTTGGCTTTAATGACCCAATGACACTTTGAGAACCACATTCAGGTTGTCAGTCAAAGCTGTACTCACCATCAAGGTCCTGAAATTAAAACTAGCTTTGCCCATCCAAGCTGCTTTTCCTTATTGAATGACTGGTCTTGGCTCATGCTTTACAACTTCCTAAATCTTGTCAAACAAGCAACAGTGGCCTTAGGGAACCCCAGGCCCAGAACTAGCAGCAGCCAGCCTAGATTCACAGCTTGGCTCTGGCTAGAAATCTCCAAGCCCAGCATAAGTAGCAGCCATCTCAGATTGCTTTATACCTCAGGCATGGTGGCCCCAGTCCAAACATGTGGGGGCTGACATTGGCCTGTACCACCCTGGAAAACCCAGGGCCAGCACATGCAGTGGACAGCTATAGACCATGTCTGAGTACCAGCACCCTGTTCCTGCACAGTTGATCGTCCACTGGGGGTGGAGTTGGTGGTAAGAGGTCACAACCAATCCTTGCAGCTGGTTGCCCTAGGTAATTCCCTCCCATTCATCAGGAAACAGCAACCAGGTTCAACTACAAGAGGAGGGTGTACTCAGCCCACACAAAGGTCACACCTCTAGTACCCAGCTTGGGTGATAGGGCAGGCTATGCTCCTGGGACCTACAGGACACCTACTACATTAGGCCGTCCTACCAAGACGGAGTCATAGCAATTCTACCTAATACATGGAAACAAATACAGGGAGGCTGCTATAGTGAGGAGACAAAGAAACATGGCTCACATGAAGAACCAATCAACTCTCCAGAAAAAGAGCTAAACAAAATAGAGATAAGCAATCCACCAGACACAGAGTTCAAAACACTGGTTATAAGGTTGCTCAGGGATCTTAGTGAAGAACTCAACAGCATAAAAAAGATCACGTTCACAGAGATAGATACATATTTCCCACTATTCTAATCTTCATTAGAAAGATGGAATTTTAAAATAGACAAAAAACTGTACTTGAAAAATAACTAAATAAAATTTTTAAAAAAAGGAAAAAAAATAAAAAGAGATACACAGCTCCAAATAAAGGGAAAACTTCCGTCTTTTTCACATGCACACACAAAAAAAAGATGGAATTTTATCATAGGTGATAAGTACTGTTATTGTTTTTCTTGAAGTGACAGGCTTGCTTAGTTCAGTTTTGAGAGATTGTCCAGTGTGCAAGCCCGAGGAATCAATTGCACAAGTGCTTTTTTTTTTTTTTGAGACAATGATCCCACTTCATTATGGAGCAGAAGTGCTTTGTATCTTTCATTATTTATTTCATCTTACCAAATATTTAAAGACTCTGTACTCAGGGGTCTAGATTTGGTTAAACTGTACTTTATCAAGACAGGAGAAACCGGCCTGTGTATTTTCCTGCAAGTGTGTCGTGCTGAGGAGCACAGTGACCACCGCTGCACAAATGACATACTGAGCCTTCATTCATGCTCAGATTCCAGTAGTTTTCTTCAGCATTGCTTTAGTGCCGTTAGTGCAAGTGTGTGCCAGTTGAAAAGAAGCACATAAAATTGTTATTAGTGTTACTATGAAAATGAATTAGACCTTGGTAGAATCCCTGAAAAGGTCTAAGAGCCCTCAGAAGTCCATGAACCTCATTTTGAGAATTGTTATTCCAGGCTTAAGATTTTGTCTAGTGTGTTCAATGAAATTGAGACGTGAAAGTAAAAGATATCATAGTTATAGATCACACCATAGACTGGTCTGGACAGTCCTTTTACTTACCATCTGTCTGCTTTTTCTGAGAGGACACCATATGTGTTTGTCAACTTATTTATTTGAGACATGACCTGCTCCCAACTACCTGCTACATACGCAAAAGGAGTAATTTATGATGCTGAAATAACATTTTGGGGGTGAAGAACTGTAGCTTGGAATGCTGGACAGTACAGAGGATTTAAGGACCAGAGTTCTACTCCTGCCTATGTTACTCACCAGGCTTACTAAGTTCTGGGCATGTTACTTGACCTTTCTAATCCTCAGGCTTCTCACCTCTACGATGGGGTGAATATTATGTGCTCCCACCTTTCTCAGGGTAGTTTTGATATTCAGGTGCTACCATCAGTTCCTTACCCCAGGTAACAGCTTCTCCATCTTTACATCTCTTAAACTATGCTTGGTGTGTGGTGGATGTTTATCGAGTTAATGAATTAACTTAAAAAATTTAATTATGAAAGTTTTAAACATACACAAAAACCCGAATTGTGTAAGGAGCCCCTGTCTATCCCTAATACATCTGTAACTCTAGAAAATCAGAATGTTCTCATGTAAACAAAATGACACCCAACATTAAACTTTGGTTCTTAAGGGTGTGATATGGTCCTTTCACAGTTGGTTATGTTCAATTGAGTTGAAATACAGATGTGTGTATGTGTGTGTGTGTGTGTGTGTGTGTGTGTGTGTGTGTTTACAGTTTCTTAGCTCAAATCAGATCCACACAAAGTGCAGTCATTGCATTTGTTTATTATGACTCTAGGTTTCTTTTAATTCCCCCAGCTTCACCCCTTTTTGATGCCATTGCCTTGTTGGAGAAATGGGCCAGTTTTGTAAAATTTTCCAGTGTTTGTTTCCCTGCGGCATTACTTAGCTTATTCCTTTATTTCCTGCATTTCTGGTAAACTGGAAGTTAGACCTAAGTGTTTGCTTTGGTTCAAGCTACCCTTTGGCAAGCATGCTGTATCAGCGGCGCTGTGTACTTCCTACATGTCACATAGGAGGTACATGATGTTTTCTCGATGCCTGGCTTGATCAGTGGATTCAAGTACAGGCAGCATGGTCTTCCCATTGCTCGCCATGAACCTCTCCAGTAATGATCCTAGCATCCATTGGTGGTCATTGCCCGAGCGAACGAACTTTGGATTCTGAGGTGCTAAATACCTGAATAGGGGTGGTATTGATGTACTATTATAATTACTAATAATAAGTAGGGCACTATCTTTATTTGAGCAAAGTCATCAATGAAGTAAGAGCTGTATGTAGTACCAAGCCTCCAAATTAGGGGCTGAGACTTAATAGTGAGGAGAATTTTATATATGGTATTAGAAAGAACTAACTTTTTTCCCCTCCTCACAGTAGACTTAGAGCTTGTCTCTTAACATCGAGTCACATTAAAACAAATGCCTTTAAACTGTCTTTAGTTTGTTTTGTTTATCCTCACCTGAAGAAATATTTTCATTGCTTTTAGAGAGAGAAAGGGAATGAGAGAGAGTTTAGAGAGAGAGGAAGGGGGAGAGAAAGAGAGGGAGAGGAACATTGATGTGAGAGAGATACACTGACTGGTTGCCTCTTGTATAACTCAACCGGGAATTGAGCCTGTGGCCTTTTGGTTTTGAGAAGTACACCCAACCAATTGAGCCACACCTCTTTTTAATAAAAAGACTCTCGGAAACCTTCTATGTCTAGATTACTTTGAGACTTGATTGATACAATTTTTAGAATTCATAAAATAGTTAGTTGATACAGTAAGATTCCAGATGATGGACAGCCCGGGACCCTCTCTTGGAGCTCTCTTGATAGCGAGATTTAAGGTGTTAGCTATAAATACCATAATTTTTGTTTCATTACTTCTGTTAGACATAAATGATTAAAGCATTCTGTTTTGTGTGGTTCATAATAAATCCACTTTTACAGATTATCATTGAACTCAAATGTTGGGAAATGAAATCAAAACAGGGTGCACATTTGGAAAATATTGTTGGTTATTTTTCTTTGCTCTTGAATTTGCCTGTTAAAATGATACTGCAAGAAGAAGATGTACAATACTTCAAATTTAGATTAGGGATCAAGGACAGGTGGCATGCTCAGGAAATCAATATGCTCTCTAAGGAACCAAAAATACTTTGCCAATTTCTTGAAAAAATGAAGGATTGTTTTCAAGTTCTTGACTAAAGGACATGAACTTTTACTTAAGGATATATTATTAACTTCTTTCATTCTTCTATAGGAAAATAAAAAATATTTCAAGCGTAGTGAACTTTCAAAAAAAGAAGAGGAAGCGTATTTTGAAAGATGTGGCTATAAGGTAGGAATTTCTGCTTTTGTGTTAAATTGTCTATTTCTAAGTTTAAATTTGTACAGCTGTTGTTAAAGTGACAAAATTATTGATCTCTGTTCAATTTATCAATGTTATACATTAGCCTGTAAGTGAGAAGCCATCTGGAGAGGTATGAGTTCTGGTTTTCTTTTTCTTTTTTAACTTGAGTTCAGGAAAACGCATGCATGACTTTTGGCTTGGAATGGTTTGGCCTTCTGTGGACAGCATGGATTGGCTTGAGATCAGAGCCTGATTTTTGTTTTTTTAAATTGAGTCTTGAATCTTATGCTCCCTCATTTTCATCTCCCCACCACTCCTCTCCTCACCTCTCCCAATAAAAGTCATTTTTAAAGGGCTAAAAACATTTTATTCCTTCAACAACCATGGTGTTAGCAGTGGTATTTTCCCCGATTCCTCTTGAATATTTAAGCCAATGCCTTTATGTTTGCATTGTTAACAGTTCCTTTTGGCTCTAAGTACCCCTGCCTGAACTATAGCGCCATGTAACATTTATATTCTTTTTCATAATAAGAAACCACATTTCAAATATTATCCAGTCTCTTGGATAGAAAATGTAATATTGAAATATTTGTTAGGAACCAATGAGTTGTCTGGAAGACTGTGTATTTTAGAAGCATGACTGAAAGTATCTTTGAGATTACCTAGTTGAATAACATATTGGGTTTTTTATTGGGAGGGGTTAATGGTTATGAGGTGAAGTTATAGTTAAATTATTTAAAAAAGACTACTTTAGTAATTTCTTTCATCAGATAACAAAGACTCTCTAAAATACCTTTGCCAAATCATAAATGTGAAGTCAACTTTTTGCTTGTGAAACACCAATTTGAAACAACCCTTTTGTGCATGTCATGTTGAAAGTTCTGGCAATAAATTACCTGGCATAGCATTTCTAGAGGGAAGCATGCGTGATGCAGATGGTGTGTGTATGCATTCGTTTTTATTTTGTAGTGTTGGGCAAGGGCAGGTTTGAAAAATGTCACTATATTTCTGATAGGTTTCTAAAATATGAAAGTTTATGTTGGTATTTTGGTCTTTTCCATGAATACATTGATTTCATTTACTTCTGATTTAGGAGATTAGAATATGTTTTATGTAAGTAACCATCGAATAATATTCAGAAAGAAGAATTCTCATGTTGTACTTGCCCAGTATTGTCTAACTTCCAACTCGATTTGGAATAAGAATCACCTGGGTTTAGTCTGCTGACTTGTTGCTTTCCCAAATCTTTAAATTTGAGCCTTTCAACTTTTTCATGAGGTAGGAAAATCCTTTTTTAAAAGGTGTCATTTTTGCTCTGCATAGGTTGCCTCAGTGATGTGGCGGTACTTTCTTGCTTATATATTGGAAAGCACTGGAACAAAACAATTACCATAAAGGTATTGCTTGTCCTGTTGAATCCAGCTGCCAGTCAATAATTAAGACTACTTTTCATCCTAAGATTTTTGGAGAAATAGCCTGTTTTTATGTTTAAAAAGAAAGCACAGGTTACTCTTTCTAAAACATTTTTAATAGTTTCTTCTTGGTAGTAATGGAAATAGAGCCTATATTGCTTTTTATTCCTTTATAGAAACAAGCTCCCATTTTCTTAAGGCTTGTTGCTGACTTGGTTTGTAAAAATAGGAAAGATAGTTTTTTTAATCTGTTTTCTTTTACACTATTAATACTGATAACCCTAACTATTAAAATATAGAGTCCTCAGTTATGTAATTTTAACCATATAGCTTTTCTTAGTTGAATGTGAGTTTTTCTTTAAGGTTGATCATTTGTATTTTTTTGATCTTACTTCTTTTGGCATTTTAAATTTGTCTTTTGGTTACTTAGGAAACCATGTTTCAATATTGTTTTACAGAGCATGCAGTGGGGCTTATAATTTACTGAACTCTATTTTCCCAAACTGTGATTTGGGTGACAGAGTCAAGGAAATATGTGAAGAGGTATTTTTCTCTGCTGGTTCATATCAATAATTATGTCCACACTTTTCTTTGTGTGGTGTTAGTAGAGAGGCACTATTTTTCATTATTTTCTCACAAGGATTGTAGCTCCATTTGTGGGCAAGGTCCAAATAGCATTGGAAATTCTTCTACATGTCCAACAGTGATTTTTGTGCAATTGGAATGATACCTTTCAAAAATTAAGGGAGGAAAAAGCTGGATCTTGAGGCTTTCACTGGTTTCTGCTGGAAAGCAGTTCTGTTCTTTGACTTTCACTTTGAACCCAGAGCAAGGAACAGAGAACTCTAAGATGATTTTCAGAAAGAGGAGAGAAGCAGGTTGATTGTTTTTTGAGAAAAGAGTAAAATTCCCTAGAGTTGAGGGAGAAAGTGAGTCTAAATTTCAGCTCTCTTAAGGTTTTGATTTGGGAGACTGTTATACTTATGTCACTCTTCTGTAGCAAGAATGCTGTCTCCAATGTGCATGCTTTCTATTTATGCTGAATCGAATTTGACAAGTTTGATAAGCTCTTAAAAGCTGCTCATTTATTATGAGCTCTTTCCTTGAAGGAATGTTTAAAAGACCTTCAATATTTAAAACATATTTAACTTCCATGAACAGCTAAGCTAATAGAATGATAAATACTAACTATGTTTTAAAAACTGAATTTCATTTCTTTTTTTGCCATTATAGATACAGCCAAAAGAGGAGGACCAGAAACCATCAACTTCATCGAATCCAGTATTAGAACTTGAACTGGCAGAGGAAAAGTTACCCATGACTCTTTCTAGGCAAGAGGTAAGCTTATGTAGAGTGTTTCGTGAAAGAAAGAAAGCTCTGTGCAGCCTTTGCATTTATCTCTAGTTCTATTCAGTAGTTTTGTGTGATTATGTCCCATAGAAGGTGACTTACAGAACTCAGTTATTGTGCAGCTATCCAGCTTTCTTCATGAAGTTCTAAATTATCTGCTTTTCCTGATACCGTTATATTAAACTTCTAAAAATATCTATTATTCTAAACTTTAAATACTAAGCAGATTGATTTAAATGTGTATATTCTAAATATATTATTTGTCTAAATTATTTTAAATAATGTACTGTTTTGTAACTTACTTTCTTTTAATATATCTTTCAAAGGCAAAATGCAAAGCATTTTAGAAGCCAGTTCTTTACTGATGGTCATTCAGATTGCTTCAGCCTTTCCCTATTCCTGTTATAAATCACAATAAGAGGAGTATCCTTCTATAGATGTGGTTCATGCATAATAATGTTAATGTGTGATTATTTTCATTGGAAATTTTTCTATAAGTATGATTTCTAGAGGGTATGTATGAAAGATTTAAGTCTCTGTGCATTTCCAAGACTTTTTATATATACGTACTAGAGGGCTCTATATCAGTTATACTGGTTTATATTCCCATCTGTAGTGTTGCCCATATCCTGGGCAATATCAGCTATTATTTTCTTTAGAAAAATTTTTTATACGATATTTATGTGAGCCCTGGTCAGGAGATTCGGTTGGAGCATCATCCTGTACACCAGAAAGGTTTGCAGGTTTGATTCCCAGTCAGGGTTAGATCCCTGACTGGGAATGTGTATGGGAGGCAACCATTTGATATCTGTCTGTTTCTCTGTCTCTGTTTTTCTGTCTCTCAAATCAGTAAAAACCAATAAATTAGTATAAAAGAAAATCAATATAACATATCCTCAGATGAGGATACTTATGTGATACAAAGGATTCAAACTATTCACAAGTTACAAAACAAAAATGAGCTTTGGACAAGAGGAAACTCGCAGAGAAAAGGATGGTGGACTCTGGAAGTTCTCCTAAGAAATTATAGGAAGATATTTTGAATAATGAGCCCGAAGAGAGGAATATTAGACTTTTGAAGCATCCATTGACAGCAGCTGTAGTTTTTAAAAACTTTTTCAAATATGTCTTATTGATTGTGTTATTACAGTTGTCACATTTTTCCCTCCCCTTTATTACCCTCTGCCCTGTACCCCCACTCTTACCAGCATTCCCCTACCTTAGTTTATGTCCATGGCTCAAATATATATATGTTCTTTGATTTCTCTATTTCCTATACTATTCTTAACCTCCCTGTCTGTTTTATACCTACCATTTGTGCTTTTTATTTTCTGTACCTTTTACCCCATTCTCCCTCCTCCCCTCCTCACTGATAACCCTCCATTTGATCTCTATTTGTGTGAATCTGTCCCTGTTGTAATTGTTTACATAGTTTGTTTTTACTTTTGTTTTTGTTCTTTTAGGTCCAGTTGTTGATAGTCGTGAGTTTATTGTCATTTTACTGTTTGTATTTTTGATCTTTTTCTTACCTAAGTCCCTTTAACATTTCGTATAATAAGGGCTTGGTGAAGATGAACTCCTTTAACTTGACCTTATCTGGGAAGCACTTTATCTGCCCTTCCATTCTAAATGAAAGCTTTGCTGGATAGAGCAATCTTGGATATAGGTCCATGCCTTTCATGACTTTGAATACTTCTTTCCAGCCCCTTCCTGCCTACAGGGTTTCTTTTGAGAAATCATCAGATAGTCTTATGGGAACTCCTTTATAGGTACCTGTCTCCTTTTCTCTTGCTGCTTTTAATATTCTCTCCTTATCTTTAATCTTGGGTAATGTGACCATGATGTGCCTTCGTGTGTTCCTCCTTGGGTCCAACCCCTTTGGGACTCTCTGGGCTTCCTGGACTTCCTGGAAGTCTTATTTCCTTCACCAGATTGGGGAAGTTCATTATTTTTTCAAATGAATTTTTAATTTTTCGTTTTCCCTCTTCTCCTTCTGGCAACCCTATGATTTGGATATTGGAACATTTAAAGTTTTTCAGGGGTCTCTAAGCCTCTGCTCCTTTTTTTTTTTGAATTCTTGTTTCTTTATTCTTTTCTGGTCAAATGTTTATTGCTTTCTTCTGCTCCAAACCATTGTTTTGAGTACTGGTTTCCTTCCCTCCAAAGTTGGGTCCTTGTATATTTTTCTTTATTCACTTTGCATAGTCTTCACTTTTTCCTCTAATTTGGGACCATACTCAACCATTTCTGTGAGCATCCTGATTACCAATGTTTTGATCTTTTCATCTGATAGGCTGGCTCTTCTTACCACTTGGTTCTTTTTCTGGAGCTTTGACTTGTTTTTTCATTTGGGCCATATTTCTTTGTCTTGGTGCATCTGTTATGTTGTAAGGGGCGGAACCATAGGTGTTCGCCACGGCGAGGCAACCCACATTGCTTCTTTGTGGTGCTGTCTGTGGGGGAGGTGTCTGAGAGGGAACAGTGCCACTTGGCTGGCTCTCGGCCCACTTTCAGTCGCTTCCTTTGCTACCCACAAGCAAATTGGGTCCTTTTGGTGCTAATTCCCAGGTGGGTGGGTTGGTGTACATTCTAGGACCCTGTGGATTTCTCCAGCAAATTCTCCTGTGCAGCTGGGAGTTCTGCTGCCTCAACCCCCACAGATTGTTATAGTCAGAGCTTTTGTAGCTTTATTTCCATGTGCTGGAACCCTACATTGCACAGTCTGTCTCGCTCCTGACTTGTTCCTCCCAGTTTATGCATGTGAATATGGGACTGCACAGGTTTATCAGCCACTGACTTGCCTGCCCTGGTCAGACACCTGCTGCCTTCCCCATCTGGTGCTCCAGCCACTGCCTTGCCTTGAGTCCTCTCTATCCCAGCTGCCCGCCTCCACCCCTGCTACTGGTTTGGATGACTGTTTCTTTGTTAACTCCTTGGTTGTTGGACTTACACACAGTTGGGTTTTCTGGCAGTTCTGTTTATTTTTTGTTTTTCAATTTGTTGTTTTCCTTCTTTTGGTTATGCCAGGAAGGAGAGTGTGTCTACCTATGCCTCCATCTTGGCCAGAAGTCTTCCAGCTTTAGTTTAAAAAGGGAATTGAGTATTTTCTGTGCTTTCATAAATTAGAGCTAAGATAATAGGGTATACATTTAAGAGAGATAGATTTTAATTTATTTTGAGAAATAAAACCTATCCAAAAATTGGGTGTGCTGTTTCATGAAGAAATGTGTAATTCCTATCCCTTGTCAGATGCGTACCTGACAGAGGTGTTTTTGAGGTCATTTCTGCATTGATTAGAAAAAGCAATAGACCCCTTAAGTTTCTTTTTTATACAAGTTTCAGTTAATCCATTGCAAGCCCTAGTTACAGTTTCTTAATGTGTTCCCAGCTAAAGCTCTTGGTACCTAGAAAAAGATTTTGGACCAACTTTTAATTAAATTTTTGTATCTCCTTTTCATGAAATATAGTGTATACATGGTATGTAAAACACATATGTTCAATATAATGGATAATTTTAAAACAAACACTCAAATAACTATCACCCAAGTCAAGAAGTTGAGTATTGTCAGTACCTTAAAAGCCTTGCATATGCCGCATCTTGATTGTCCTCACTCTTCTGAGGGGCAAGTGTTTGGTTTGAATGTAGTATTGCAGCTGACCTTAGGTATGGCCATTGAGTCATCAGCTGGCTCCAAACTGCATTTTCCTTCTCTATATAAACATCATCACTCTCTCCCATCCTAGTATTTTTCTTATGGATTGGTACCTTCCTGAAACATCCAAAGGACCTAAACCTTAGGGCCATTGAAGGTGTGACAATGAGTTAATATGTTTGTTGAATAAAGGAAAAACAAACACAACTTTTTCACTGACATTTTAAAATAAGTGTTTGGTCACCTAAAATAGGAATTGCTATTACTGATAACATAAGGAATTATTACTGTGTGTGTGTGTTTTTTAAAATAGGTTATCAGAAGACTGAGAGAAAGAGGAGAACCAATCAGACTATTTGGAGAAACTGATTATGACGCTTTTCAACGTTTAAGAAAAATAGAGATCCTCACACCAGAAGTTAACAAGGTAAGAAGACAGAACAAAACTAGAAGAATATCACTGTGTCACATAAACTAGAATAGTGTGAAGTCTGATGGCGTTTGACCAATTGTATTGTTGTGGGAAAAATGGAAAAAGTTCCCAGATCACTTACTGCTGGTGGTGTAATTAAAAAAAAATTTTAAAGCCCATATCCTAAGCATACGGTTCTGTGCATTTTGACAACTATGTGTAAGTCTGTAACCATTACCCTTGTGAAGATACAGAGCAGTTTCATCATCCAAGAATGTTCCCCAGTGCCCCTTCTGTCCCATCCCGTAGGCCTCCTTCTCTGCTCCTGAGCAACCACCTTTTTAAATTCTGTCGCCATAGATTAATTTTACTTGTTCTACTTTTTCTTATAGATGAAGTCATAGTGTCTGGCTTGTTTTGATTGGCATAATGTTTTTTAGATTCATCCATGGTACTGCAGATATCAGTAGCTGATGGTATTCAGTCATAGGAATATACCACCATATGTTTTCAACCTTCGGCTGTTATGAATAAAACTGCTGTGAACATTCTTATACAAAATTCATTTGAACTTATGTTATTTCTCTTGGGTAAATACCCGAGAGTGGACTTGCTGAATAGTAAGAGTGAATGTATGCTTAACTTTTTAAGAAATGCCAAATATCTCCAGATGGCATCAGCATTTGTTATTGTCAGTGACTTAAATTTTAACCATTTTCTTGTGTAATAGTGTGTCATTGTGCTTCTATTCACATTTTCCAGATAATGAAAGATCATAAGCATTTTCGTTGTGGACTTACTGGCTGGCTATACTTTTCTCTGTGTAGTGTGTGTGTAAGTCTTCATATTTCAATTGGGTTGTTTATCTTTTTATTTTTGAATTGTAGGAGTTCATATATTCTAAATGTAAGTCCTTTGTGAGATACACGCAGATATATTTTGTGACTATTTTCTCCTGCTCTGTGCCTTACTGATTCTCTCACTGGTGTCTTTTGGGGGGTGGTGGCAGTGAATTTTAAATTTTGATGAAGTCTACCTTATCAGGATTTGGTTTTATCGTTTTTGTTTTCAGTGTTTTACCCACGAAATCTTTTCATATCCTAAGTAAGGTCTTGAGATATTCTTGTGTATTTTCTTCTAAAAGCTAGTAAGTTTTAGCTTTTACATTTAGGGCTCTGGTATTGTTCTGTGGCTCAGCTTATGGTTTGTTTTGGTGACTATTCCTCAGGCTCTTGAAAAGAGTATGTTTTATGCTTTGGACAGATGTCATTTACAGTAGTGTTGTTCGGATATCCGTGGCCTTATTCACTTAACCACTTGTTCTATCATTTAGACACAGGTGTGGGTATCTGTGGCTATGTAACAAACCCCCCAAAACTTAGTAGCCTTAAACAGTTTATTATTATAAAATCTTTCCAGTCATCTATCACTGTAACAGACCATTCTGAAACCTAGTAAGATAATTTATTATTACCTCTCACAGTTCTGTGGTTTGATTGAGTGAAGCTGGGCAGTGTTTGCCTTGGGATCTTGCAGTCAGGTGAATGGCTAAGGTCATCTGAAAGCTTCACTGGACCAGTCTTTGAGTTTAGTATAATAGTTTGAAGGTCAATCTGTGTTGTAGCATGTGTCAGATTTTCCTTTTTTTTTTTTTTAAGGTTGAAATATATTCCATTGTATGTACAAAACCCAGTTTGTTTATCTCTTCATCCTACATGGACATTTGAGTTGTTCCTACCCTTTGTCTGTTGTGAATAAAGTTGATGAACATGGGTATACAAATACTTTTTTTAGTCCCTCCTTTCACTTCTTTTGCATGTATATCCAGAAGTGGAATTTCTGAATTATTTCTTATTCTATATTTAACTTCTTCCCTCAAAGCATAAATGAATTAAAAAATTTTTCTTTGTTTATATAGTGAATATAACATACTAGTATATGTTATGTAATAATTATAACATAATTAATATAAACAACAGTTTGCTTTTCTTTATTTTTAATCTTTTGTAACACTTTCTTAACCTAAATTATTAGGAAGAGCTAGAGGTTTTTATAATGCTTCATTTTACCAACATTTATTTCTCTTCTATATCCTGTCACTTTCTTTATTAAAAGATAGAGTAAAATACTGCTGTCAGCTACTCAGTTTTTATTTTATTTATTTTTTTACTACTCATGCTTTATTACGTTAAAAATCTTTTATCTTCTACTATTAACTGACTACAGCCTGCTCTATTCTAATCTTGTTCAGGCCTGTGTTAGATAATACATGCTTTCTTATTTGTACATTCTTAAAAACTTATGTATAATTGACATGTAACATTATATTAGTGTCAGGTGTACATCATAATTCACTATTTGTATATATTGCAAAATGATCACCACTGAAAATATAGTTAACACCCTTACCCATGTATAGTTATAAAATGTTTTTCTTGTGATGAGAACTTTTAAATGTTGCTCTCTGAGCACCTTTTGAATATTCAGTACAGAAGTATAGTCACCATGATGAAGATCACATCCTCATGTGTTACTTTTTTATAACCAGGACAGTGTGTTTTAAGTTGATAGCAACTTAAGTTTGAACACATTCTAAAGTTCTACATTTTTACTTTACCTGTCCAGGTTTTATGTTTCTTTAAAAAATAAATTTTCTTGATTATGCTGTTACTGTTATCTGAATTTTCCCCCTTTGCCCCCTTCTTCCCAGTACCCCCTGTTGCCTCAGGTAATCTCCTGCCTGAGTACATGTCCATGGGTCATGCATATAAGTTCTTTGGCTTCTCCATTTCCTATACTGTACTTTATATCCCCATGGCTACTCTGTAGCTACCAATTTGTATTTCTTAATCCCTGCACCTTTCCCCCCATTATCCCTCTTCCCCCTCTCAAATGATAATACTCCAGATGATCTCCATATTTGTGATTCTATTTCTTTTCTGCTTGTTCGCTTTGTTTTTTAGATTCAGTTGTTGATAGAGTGAACATATTGCCATTTTAATGTTCGTAGTTTTGATCTTCTTCTTTTTGTTAGCTAAGTGCCTTTATTGTTTGCAGGCTGGCACTCAATCCACTGAGTCACACCAGCCAGGGCTAGATAAGTCCTTTTAACACTTCTTATAATAAGGACTTGGTGATGATGAACTCCTTTAGCTTGACATTGTATGGGAAGCACTTTATCCACCCTTCCATTCTAAATGATAGCTTTGCTGAATAGGGTAATCTTGGATGTACATCCTTGATATTCATCAGTATGAATACTTCTTGCAGTCCTTTTTAGCCCGCAAAGTTTCTTTTGAGAAGTCAGATGACAGTTATGGGAACTGCTTTGTAGGTAACTCTCTGCTTTCTCTTGCTCCTTTGAAGATTCTCTCTTTATCTTTAACCTTTGGCATTTTAATTATGATATGTCTTGGTGTGGTCCTCTTTGGGTCCAACTTCTTTGGGACTCTCTGTGCTTCCTGGACTTTTATGTCCATTTCCTTCACCAAATCAGGGAAGTTTTCTTTCATTATTTTTTCAAATAAGTTTTCAATTTCTTGGACTTTCTTACCTCCTTTCGGCACCCCTATGATTTTGAAGGTTGGTACGTTTGAAGTTGTGCAAGAAGCTCCTCAGCCTATCTTCGTTTTTTTTTAAAAACTCTGTTTTCTTCCTACTGTTCTGATTGTATATTTTTTTCTTCCTTATGTTCCAATTCGTTGATTTTTTTTGTTGGATTCATACCCTCCACTGTTAGTTTCCTGTCAATTTTTCTTTATTTTACTTAGTGTAACCTTCATTTCTGCCTGGGTCTTTTTAATACTGTTGAAGTACCCAGTGAGTTCCTTCAGCATCCTAATAACCAGTGTTTTGAACTCTGCACCTGATAGATTGTTTATCTCCATTTTGCTTAGTTCTTTCTCTGGAGTTTTGTTCCATTTTTTCATTTGGACCGTATTTCTTTGTCTCCTCATTTTGGCAACCTCCCTGTTTTTGTTGCTATGTATTAGGTAGAGCTGCTTTGACTTCCTGTCTTAATAGTGTGGACTACTGTAGAAAAGCACACTAGTAAGGTGGGTGAGGTGGAGCCCTAGGTACTCGCCAGGGTGGGACACTCCATGTGAACTAGGTTGATGGAGTCTCAGATACAGTGTCGTACTCTTGGCTCTTTGTGGGGGAGGGCTCAGAGCCGTGACAGTGCCGCTCTGTGGCCTCTGGTGGTTTGTCTGGGGGGAAGCTGTCTCCCGGCACTCGTTCTGATGCCAGACACTTCAGTTTCTCCCTGCATGCCACTCGTGCCCTTCCAGCTACAGACCTGGTGCTGAAGGCCAAGGGGAGTGAGTCTGCATAAGTTTTAAGTACTTTGTGGGTCCTTTAAAAAGAGACTCCTGCCCTGCTGGTGTGGCTCCCTGGATTGAGCGCTGGACAGTAAATCAAAGATTCCTAGTAGGAGCACATGCTGGGTTGCAGAACAGTCCCCAGGAGGGGGCACTTGAAAGGCAACTACACATTGAAAACCATATTGATGTTCTTCTCCCTCTGTTTCTCACTCCCTTCTCTCTAAAAACCAATAAATAAAATCATTTTTTTTTAAAAAAAAAAGGGACTCCCGAGAATCCCACAGTTTATTCTGCTGCCTCAACTGTTTTTTTTTTTATAGCCAGAAGTTATGGGGGACATATCTTCCTGTCACAGGGACCCTGGGCTGGGTGGTCTGGTGTTGGTATCCCTCTTGATTTTTATCCACCACATGTGGGTGTGGGACTGCCCATTCCATGTCTGTTACCCTCTCCACACATCTGTGCATCTGCCCCTCCTACCTGTCTGGATAAATGTGGCTTCTTGGTTGTCCGACTTCCATACAGATTGATTTTCTGACAATTTTGGGTGATACTTATTTTGTAATGTAGTTGTAATTATTGCTGCGGTTGTGTGAGGAGGCGAGCCATGTACACCTATGCCTGCATCTTGATCAGAAGTTGTTGTATGTTTTGAGGTCACATTTCACATCTTTTTCTCTTCTGTATCCCTTAACTAATTATTGTAGTTATAATTGTTTTTACTACTTTTGTATTAACCTCCATACTAGCTCTTTGCATGATTAATTCACTATATTTACTGTATATGTACCGTTAACAGTGAGATTTACACTTTTCTATAGTTTTCTTCCTTTAACATTCCTTTAGTGGTGGTGAACTCCTTTAGCTTTTGCTTGTCTGGAAAACTCTCTCTTTCTTTCAATTCTGAATTACAACGTCACCCGGTAGAGTATTGTGTCACTCCCTTCTGGCCTGCAACATTCCTACATGTGGTTTCATTGTACAGTATGTAACAAGTTGGTTTTTTCTTGCTCCTTTAAAAAATTTCTTGTCTTGAACTTTTCATATTTTATTATAACGTGTCTTGGTGTGGTATATTTAACTTGCTGAGGTATTGCCAATAGTTTCCAGAGCAGCTCCACCATTTTACATTCCCAGCAATGCACGAGGGTTCCATTTCTCCATAGCCTATCCACCAGTTGTTATTTTCTGGGTTTTTGTTTTGTTTTTTGCAAATAGCCATTCTTGTGTATGAACTGATTATTTCATTGTGGATTGGATTTCTTGTGTATACTTACTAGTGATTTTGAGCATCTTTTCATTTGCTTGTTGGCCATTTGCATATCTCATTCTGTTCAAGTCCTTTGCCCATTTTGAATCGTGGGTGGATTTTTATGTATTCTGGATATCAGTCTTTATCAGCTACGTGACTTGCAAGCATTTTCTCCCTTTCCATGGGTTATCTTTTCAATGTGTTGATAGTGTCTTTGATGCATAAAAGTTTTTCATTTTGATGAAGTTTAGCTTAACCCGTTTTTGTTGTTGTTGCCTGTGCTTGTGGTATTTTGTGCAAGAAATCATTCCCAAATCGAATGTCATGAAGCTTTTCCCCTATGTTTTCTTCTAAGAGTTTTATCGTTTTAGGCTTATGTTTAGGTCTTTGATCCCTTTGGAATTAATTTTTGTATATGGTATAAGGTAAGGATCCAGCTTATGCCATTTTTATTAGTCACAAACTGGATGTAACTGCAGTGTGGAATTTGCTGGTGTTAAAAACATATTGATAGCCTGGGATATAGACAGACACTGATTTTATACAACAGACATTGCTGAATGTTTGGGAATTCAGAATAGTCTTCAGGTGGTTCTCCATGGCAAGTACATCCGGGAGGTGGCAAGTACAGTGTTTACCTACTCTGCTGTCTTGACTGGTCATTTGAGATGAATGATACATATGATTCCTGAAAAATCAAGTGTAATATGAGTGACATTTAATACAGGGTGTAACTTTTCACTTTTCTCAGGGATTGAGAAATGATCTGAAAGCAGCATTGGATAAGATTGATCAGCAATACCTCAATGAACTTGTGGGTGGTCAGGAACCTGGAGAGGAAGACACACAGAATGATTTGAAAGTTCATGAAGAAAATACCACAATAGAAGAGTTAGAGGTAATCTCTACACCCACCTTACCTTATTCCCCGTCACACCTCTCATTTGCTGCAGCAAATGGTTGAGTTCATGACATCTCTCAGTGCAGGGCACACTGCTGTCTTTGATCATTACTAAGGCCCTTCTATCATATAAGGGCTTTCGTTTATTAACTTACTTCTTTCTCATTGTCCACTCACATTCATTTTCCTACTTCTTGTCTTCAAAAGTAGTCATTCTTTTATATTTGGTATGAACTGTTTTGTTTGTTGGTGGTCCTTAAAACTAGTAGTGTTTTAGGAGTCTGAGTTTTTGATTTCCATAAATGGGGTTCTGTGAAATTCTTTCTGCTTTTGACTTTTCCTTTTTATACTTTAAACTGTGTGTTTAATATCCATCCTTGATGCCATGTACATCTAAACCTTTGCTTGTAACTGCTGAGTGATACTTCATACCCTGTGGTATTCACTGCTGTTTACTTTTGTTCTCCCGTAATGATAGGTAAGTAGGTGGCTTCAGCTCCCTATCACCACAAATAGCTCTGTGGACTCTGAAGTGGGATTGCTGGGTTTACATATATTTAGCTTGTCTAAGTATAGTCAAACCTCAGTTCTCGAACATGTTGGTTCTTGAAAATTTTGGTTCTTAAACAAGTTGTTCACAAAATAAATATCTTGGCTGTGTAACAAAATCTTGGTTGTCTAATAAAACTTCGGGTCTCAATTCTCTACCTGATGACCCTTTAGAGGCTGATACCTGTGTGATTGATCAGTCATGCTTCTCTCAGGCAACAGAGAAAGGAGATTTGCTTGTCAGGCAGATCACTTCTCAAACAGTTTTATGGAGGGAATTAAGTTCGAGAACCAGGTTCAACTGTACCACTAAGTTGCCCTCCAGATGGCTGTGCCAGTCTGCACCCCACCAGCAGGGTGTGTCTCACAGGCCTGCTCTCCATCAGCACTGGGCAGTCCTGTGCTCTCTAATTGTTGTCAGTGTGTTGAATGTGAAGTGATACATATAATCTCAGTTAAAGAACAATGCTGTATTATCTAAATGTCTAGCTCAAGCAAATGATACCGCTTAGTTTAAATCTCTTAATATTAATATAATGTAAACTGTTAGTTTTTCTTTTTCTTTTAGTCCTTGCTCTTGCACATGCTGGCACCATCGTTGAGGAGGATGTCCTCTTAATTGTACTCCCCACCCCAACACCTGTCTATGGGCCGTAAATTATATTGGGATGATTGGTGCATGCAACCATCTCCAGGTTTTCATTTTTCCTCTAACAGCTTTATTGAGAAATCCACCCATCCTACAATTTACTAATTTAAAGTGTACAAGTTGGTGGTCTTTACATACTCATGGGGTGGTACAATTATCATCTCACTCCAGTTTTAGAACAACTGTTCCCCTGAGACAAAATCTCCTGTGCATCAACGGCCACTCCCCTTACCCTCTCTTCTCTCTTTTGATTCATGAAAGATAACGTGCTTTCACAATTTAAATGGCAAGTTAGTGTTTTTTAAAAAAACTTATTTAGAGGTTCCATCAGGTTTTAAAATAATAATTGGACAGTCTGTTTAATAAAGAGCCATGTTTAGGTTGGTGTTGATAGCACATCTATTCAGCTGTTGCCTTTCACTCATGAGCAGGAGCATTATTTTTCCTCAGGCCTTGGGAGAATCTTTGGGAAAAGGTGATGATCACAAAGATATGGACATCATTACCAAATTCCTTAAGGTATGTGCTTTTAAGTTTAGGAAGGAGGGCATTTTCATTGGTTAGTAACTGTTTTTATAGTTTTACATTGTTAAGGGTTAAATTAAAGACTGGGAAGGGAAAGCTCAATAAACTTTTCTGGCATGTGTGCTGTTTATGATTTTGCTATGTACTTGGACATAGAGGTTAATCAAAGACAGTGTATATTTTCATTTCTCTGGCACTTTTTAAAAAGCTGGCTTATTAATGTAAACACAAAGAATAGAATTACAGCAGTGGGTAAAACAAGAAGTATGAGGAGCTCTACATTTTTTTGAAGCACTTGCAGAAGGACTACAATGAGGAGAGTGTTCTAGAAGCTTTTGTGGGAGGTGATGACCATAAGGAAAGGAAGGAGGGAAGAAGACATTGGCAGTGAAAAATGCAAACACATCAGTAACCTTTTAGAGACTGTTCATTTTCCCAGTTCCTCAGGCAGCTCTTTATTCTTGCTGTGATGTGCTCATTCCATCTTCCTTCTCAGCATACTGTCGTTAGTGGTTTAGCATTTATTAAAAAAGATTTTGTGTTCAGTCCTGCAAAGTGAAAAGGTCACCGCCAGTCTGATTCCCGGTCAGGGCACATGTCGGGGTCTTTGGTTTGGGTGTGTCTTACAGGCAAGTGACTGATGTTTCTCTCTTACATCAATATTTCTCTCATCTTTCTGCCTTCTTTCCCTCTCACTAAAAATAAATAATAAATAAGATTTTTTAAAAAAGATTTTGAATCTATTGAGGAAATGATGCAGAACTAGATAGGGGGTGAAACTATTACGAACTGGGATTTTAGAACAACAGCACCTCCGTATATAGGATTGTGCAGGAAGGCCGGTAGTTGGATGTGTTCTCTTCAGCCTGCGCTGTTTGTTACCTGCCTCTAGAAGGGAGCTCGTCGTATAGGTCAACCCAGCGGGCACTGCGGTCATTTTCCGGGGTTGGTTAGGGGGAGAGTGTGGGTCATAGGTTCTTTTTTTTCTGTTCTGGTCTTCTCCTTTATGGGAATTTTTAATTAAATTATTGTCTCTATGGCAAAAGTAGAAAGTCCTCATGGTACAACATCGTACTTGGGGGACTTATTAACTCTCAAAGCCTATATGGTGCTATGGCTGATACTCTAGGTGGAGCAAATTTGATGTGATAGAAATATAAGTAAAAGTTTATTCCTGTCAAATACTTGTTCATGTAATGGGGTAATTCTTTTTGGGGGAGATGGATTGTCTTTGAACTAGGAATATATATATATATATATATATATATATATATAGAGAGAGAGAGAGAGAGAGAGAGAGAGAGAACAGGGAGGTTTGTGAATTGCCAGAGGTGCTACTTTAAAACATATGCAACAGAATCAGCAGATATAGTTCATTAATTATTTGTGGATGATAATGTAAGTCAAGAAATTTAAGGATGGTACTATACTGCTTTATGTGTTGTCGAACAGTTTGGCCACTGGGTGGCACTGTAGTCTAAATTTACCCATTCTTTCCACAGTTCCTTCTCGGTGTTTGGGCTAAAGAACTGAATGCCAGAGAAGACTACGTGAAGCGCAGTGTGCAGGGTAAACTGAACAGTGCTACGCAGAAACAAACCGAGTCCTATCTCAGACCCCTTTTCAGAAAGCTACGGAAAAGGGTGAGCAATCTCAAAAAATTGCTTTTCTTAACTGATTTGAAAAAAATAGCATATAGCCCCAACTGGTGTGGCTCAGTTGGTTGGGAATCATCCTGCAAAATGAAGTTCAGTTTGATTCCAAACCAGGGCTTGTACCTGGCTTGCAGGTTCAGTCCCTGGTTGGGGTGTGTATGTTAGGCAACCAGTCAATATTCTTATCCCTCCCTTTCTCCTTCCCTTCCCCTTCTCTTAAGATGAAATGAAGTCTTTTTTATTTTTAATCTTTACTGTATTTTTTCACATTACCTTTTAGTCCCCATGTACCACCCCCTTCCCCCAGCAATCACCACGCTGTGGTCCATGTCCACAAGTCCTTTTTCTTTTTTTGTTCAATCTCTCCACCCCCTAAAATATTCCTCAAATAGCTGTCATCCTGCCCTCCATCCATGAGTCTGTCTGCATTTTCCTTGTTAGTTCAGTTTGTTGACTAGATTCCTTGTATGAGTGAAACCATATGGCATTTGTCTTTCTGGCTTATTTCACTTAGCACAATGTTCTCCAGGTCCATACATGCTGTTGCAAAAGGCAACATTTTCTTTTTTATACCCAAATAGTATTCCATTGTATAAATATTCCATAGTTGTTTTATCATCTATTAATGGACACTTTATGTCCATTCATGAGCTGCTTCCATATCTTGGTGATTATAAATAATGCTGCATTGAACATAATGGTGATTATGTTCTTTGAAATTAGTGTTTTGGGTTCCTTTGGATGTATTCCCAGACGCGGGATCACTGGGTCAAAAGGCAGATCCATTTTTAATTTTTGAGGTATTTCCATACTGCTTTCTACCATGGTTGGAACCAGTCTGCAATCTTAGCAACAGTGCAAAAACGTTCCCCTTTCTCTACATCCTTACTAGCACTTGTTTGTTGATTTATTGATGATAGCCATACTGACAGGTGTGACGTGCTATCTCATTGTGGTTTTAATTTGCATTGTTCTCATGAGTGACATTGAGCATCTTTTCATATGTCTATTGGCTATCTATATGTCCTCTTTGGAGAAGTGTCTATTCAGGTCCTTTGCCTGTTTTTTAACTGGGTTGTTTAATTGAACAGATACATAGAGAAAAATGAAACTAGACCACTTTCTTACACTACGCACAAGAATAAATTGAAAATGGATCAAAGATTTAAATGTTAGGCCTGAAACCATAGAAATCGTGGAAGAAAACTTAGGCAACCAAATCTCATATATGACTCACAGCAGTTTTTTATGGGGTATATCTTCCCATGCAAGGGAAACAGAAGAAAAAACCAAATGAGTCTACCTCAAAGTAACTAAAAAGTTTTTGCACAGCAACAGAATAAAAAGATAACCCACAGAATGGGAGAACATATTTGCTGAGATATCTGATAAGGAGTTAATATTCAAAATTTACAAAGTACTTTAAAAATTCAACACCAAAAAAACAACCCAGTTAAGAAATAAAATAAAAAAATAAAACATATGAGACTAGAATAAATTCACTTTGTAACTACATACGATAGCTTCCAAAATTAATTTTGCTCTTTTTTCTTTTCCAGAATCTTCCTGCTGATATTAAAGAATCCATAACAGATATTATTAAATTCATGTTGCAGAGAGAGTATGTGAAGGTACGTTGCCATGGTGTGCGTTGGAATTATGGTTACGAGCCTATCTAGGTTGTGCACATAGTATGTTCATTTTGTAAGGGAATGTTTATCACATAGGAGATTTAAGAATAAATGTAAAATTAATGATTTTTTAAAAAGACACCTTTTGTTTTGCTAATGTATTAACACCTTAATTTTGGGCATTTTATATTAAACTTTGAGACCACACTGTGGTTTTTTTAGTCATTTTTAAGGCAGATATAAGGATTCTTCATATCATGTACTGGATATGGGCAAGGTGCATTCCATGCCTGCGAGTGAGTTTCAAAATTTGCAGATTGTTGGTTACAGCTCAGGGCAGATTTTTCCACAGAAACACTGTTGTGCGGATACAAATACGTACTACTCATAGCTAAAGGGTTATACTAATGACAGAGTGGAATCTGACCGCCCTTTGTACTTGTTTCTATGAGAACGTGTTCCATGTCACCCTGCCAGCGCTCACCTCTCCCAGTTCAGGACCGCAGCAGCCACAGACCCCTTGTTGGGGAAGACTTGCCCCTGGCTGTCTCCTAAATGGGCCCTGGGAGGCGGTGGTGTGGGGAGAGAGCCCTGGTGCCCAAGCTCGGCTGGGGTAGAGTTTAGAAGGGGGAGAGTGGAGGGCTGTCAGTTGGTGGAGCGGAAGGAGAAGAGAAGGGCCTGGTGCACCAGTGGTGGAGACGGGAAAATGGGACGCTGCTCGTGGGCCGTGAGGTGAGGATGAGGAGCGGAGATCCTGGTGGCTGTGCCTCCGGAGAGCGTGGAGGTGGAGAGTTCCGGTGCCCCAGTTCCGGTGCCCCAGTTCCGGGTCAGTAGGCGGGGCTCCGACAGAAGGGCGGGAGAGCCTCTGCTTCTCTCTGTGCTCTGCGTGTCTGTGCTCAGAAGGGGGCGCTGGCCTTCCTGGGTGACTGGGTGGTCTCCTTGATCAGAGCCTCATGCTGATGAGGCTAAAGTATTGTTTTTACTCCTTGTGTATGGGAGCCAGTTAGTTTTATCAAGGAAGATGTTTTTGTTTTTATGGCTGTAAATTCTGTTTTTGGATAGTTTCTGTTAATTGCATGCTGCTTACCAAGGACAGCATTGGAATGGATGGATAAGGCCACCATCACTGCGAAAGAACTCAGGTCACCTGCCTTTCCTTTTGTTACGTTTCTTATCCTCGTATATGAGAATCAGGTGAAGGTTTATGATGTAAAAACTACATAAAGAACCAAGAAACTTTAATAACCTATTTGACAGTTTTCTTTGGAAATAGAGGAATCTAAATGTTAGAAACTTTATCAGTTAATATCCAGTGTTCAAGTTACACACATGGGGATCAGTGATAAAAATATGCATATGGTCCTGGCTTGTGTGGCTCAGTGGATTGAGTGCCACCTGGTGAACCAAAGTGTCACCTGTTTGTTTCCCAGTCAGGGCACGTGCCTGGGTTTCAGGCCAGGTCCTCAATAGGGGGCGCTTGAGAGGTAACCACACATTGATGTTTCTCTTTCTCTCTCTTTCCCTTCCCCTTTTAAAAAGTAAAATAAATAAAAATTTTAAAGAAAGTGTATAAACCTTTTTAAAATTAAGCTTTACAAAAATTCAACACAGCAAATTCAAATTTATCTTTAGGGACAAAATAATCTTTCAGTTAACCAATTTGTAATACCTGATATTTTTAAAGTCAATTCTACATATCAAACACATTGGTGTTTGAATTTTTTAATTTTTATTTTTTAAATTTTTTTTAAAAGATTGATTTATTTCTAGAGAGAAGGGAAGGGAGGGAGAAAGAGGAGAGAAACATTAACGTGTGATTGCCTCTTGCCTGCTCCTAACTAGGGTCCTGGCCCACAACGCAGGCATGTGACCTCATTGGGAGCCAAACCAGTGACCCTTTTGTTTGCAGGCCTGTGCTCAAGGTGCTGAGCCACACCAGCCGGGGCAGGTGTTTGACTTTTTAAATGAAAATCTCTTTGAGGCTTGGGTATATAGGCTTCTCTGAAACTCTCAAGGTCTTTTAGAATTTCCTTGCTGTTCTGTTTTCCTTGCAAGTCACTAGGCTTACTTTAGAAAAAGAGCCATTCGTCTTCATTGGTTTCTGTCTTTACATTTTATAGCTTTTACAATAATTTAAGGTTCTAGGCAGGTGGGAGGTTTGTGGGCCAGGGTGAAGCAATCCCATGCTTTAGCTGATTAAAGAGCCAGTATTTATTCTCTGTTTACACCCCTGCCGTGGGCCCTGTGTGTAGCCCCTGCTGCTGTCAGAGGTCTGACTGCTGTGCAGGGAGCAGCACCCTGTCAGGTTGGATTGTGAGGAACTAGTCAGCCTGCGTTCTGTGTGACCACCTGTGGGGAAGACAGGGTGGAAAGGGGGTCCAAACTCGAGTGTTCCGTCAGTACATCAAATTACCTGCCTGGTGATTCCAGATCAAAATGCAGTGATATTACGGGGGGGGGGGGTTTTAAAATGCAGTGATATTCAGTGCACAAAGGCTGCCCAGGAATGTCTGTCTTGTTTCTCGCAAGGTTAGCTTTGGTTTCAGTTTTTACATGGACATTTGTGGTCTGGGAGGGCAGTCAGTCATCCCATATTTTAACTCCTTTTGTTTGAATAAGAGGAATTGTAATATTTTCAGTATGCTTAAGAGATAGCCAAAAAGTCATAAAAGGCTGTGAAATCTTTGAAATAAAAATTTGGACCAATATGATATTTCTGCTCTTCTGATATCTTCTTTCTTTTTAGGCTAATGATGCTTATCTTCAGATGGCCATTGGAAATGCCCCTTGGCCCATTGGTGTCACTATGGTTGGTATTCATGCCAGAACTGGTAGGGAAAAGATTTTCTCCAAGCATGTTGCACATGTTTTAAATGATGAAACACAGAGGAAGTATATTCAGGTAAGCAGTTTGGAGGGAAGGGCATTTCTCTGGAGTTTAACATTCTCCAATTCCAAAACTATATATTTTGAGAGCAAAAGAACTATAGCAAAAAGGACATACCACGATAGGATATAAGTCCAGTTCTTTAAGACATCTTTACTGAATAAAATGAAAACTTTTTAAGTTTCACATATCAGCCGTCCCCAACATCTTTGGCACCAGGGCTGGTATGGTGGAAGACAGTTTTTCTATGGTGCGTGTGGGGCGGGGCAGGGTGGGCAGGGGAGGGGGATGTAGGAGGAGACAGGAGGTGGAGCTCAGGCTGTAATGCAGTTGGAAGCTTAGCTCTCTGGCCTGCTGCTTCCCTCCTGCTGTGTGGCCGGTTCCTAACAGGCCTTGGGCCATTACCAGCCTGGGGACTGGGGACTGGTTCCGGATGCAAGCTGGGTTGAAGGGTTTACCTTAGCATTAAAATGAGACTATTAACAGTTTGCTTTGGGTGTTTAGTGAAGAGCAGCAAATTCAGAATTTTTGCAGTAAATCTTGTTTTGTTGCTTTTAAGGTAGATTTAACATGTACTAGGATAAAAGGTATGAATAGTAAGAATTTGGCTTTAATGAAGATAATTTTTTAAACTTAATTTAAAACATTTAAAAACCATTTTCCCATCACCATTTATCTTCCACACCCCACGGCCATCACCACACCGTTGTCCTTTTCCATGAGTTTTTTCCTTTTTGCTCAATCTCTTCATCTGCCACCCCCGCCAGCATCACCCCAGAGCTGCCGAGTTGCTCTCTGAGCCTGTCTCTGTTTGGCTTGTTAGTTCACTTTGAACATAATCTTTAAGTAACTTGTAACAGAACTTCTCTACATGAATAGCTCAAAAGTGTTTATAGTTTATTTTTTTAGTTGTATATACATCACATGAAATTGTGTGCAGCATTACAAGATAAATTTTCGTCCCTAGTGGGAAAAATCATCTTTCTTCTTAGCTTTTGCCAAATTGTCAAGAATTTCGGGTTGTATCTGTGTAATGACTTTTGCTGGATATTAATTATAAGGGTAGAAGATGACATCCTGAAAGTTTACTTAAAATTTAAAATTCATTTAAAATGTGTAAAGTGCCTACAGATTTTCTGCAAGAGAGCAACCATTACCACAATCATGAATTACCTTTTGGGTTGTATTTCAGTTCCAAACTTTAAATGTTCATTTGTATTATGCTTTATTGACATGTATCGACATTTTAAAAAATGATTGCAACTGGATTCCCTGTTATAAACTGTAGAATTAATAGAGTTCAGATTCACTTATGGAAACTTAAGGACATTCCCATTTTTTTAAATAACCACCACTGACTGTATGAAAGGCAAAAAGTTTTTACGGCAGGGAGATGTTTGATTTTAACAACAGAAAACAATTCCAGTGACTAAATTTGCTTAGTGTGTTCAGCTATGCCGTCGTCAAAGCTGTAGTGTGCATAGGAGTCATGTAATTAGATAAAATGTCTTAGTTAAAGAGCATTTCTTTTCTTTTTTAAATAATGATAGTTCCTTGTTAACTGATTTTTTAAAAAAGTATGCCAGTGCTTATTTTAAAGCTTCTTTTGGTTTATATTGGAAGCTACAAAGTCACCTATCTCTCCTCAGTAGTTCATCCCTTTTATCTGTTACCCTCTCTTTAAAAAAAAACAATTATGTTTTATTCCACTGAGATGATGAGGGAAAATCGGTGACCAGACTGTGTCTGGGCTTGGGGAAGGGGTCGGACCCAAACCCAGTCACAGTTGGGGGGGTGGATTTAGGGGCGACAGCACAATCCGGTGACTCCCAGCCTATGCGTGAGGGAAGCCATGGAGCACTGAACAGGAGTCCACGTCTGCTCTGGTGCGCGCTGGTGACACGGGCCTTGGGTTCTTAGAGTCCACAGTGCTGTCCTGTTGAACGTTTTAGTGACTGATTCAGATGGTCACACAGAGAGGTGCGGTGATCAGACTTAGACAGTAAGAAACCAGAAGGGGGACAGAGTGTGAGATAAGGTAGAAAAGAGACTGGCACTGTAGAAGTTCTTGACAGACTGTAGAAAGGACAGATGCTTTTTTTTTTTAAGGTTTCATTTATTTATTTTTAGAGAGAGAGAAAGGGAGAGAGAGAAACATTGCTTGGTGGCCTCTCACACACACCTGTACCAGGTACAAAACTACAACCCAGGCACGTGCCCTGACTGGGAATCACACCTGCAACCTTTGGCTTTGCTGGATGACTCCCACCCAGCAGAGCCTGACTGGTCAGGGGAAAGAAGGACAGATTCTTCAAATAGAACATTTAGCTCGGATGACCATAAAGGAATTTGGATCCAACAGCCTAGTTGCTTGAGCATACCTCTGAGCAGTGTATAAGAGAACAAAATGAGGGAATGCAGTGGACTGTGAAGGTAATAAAATTCTAGTGACATGATACGGTCACTGGAAAGTCCCATGATAGCTTAACTATATTATTAGACATGATAATTTTGTGTTGGTTGCACAAGGCAAGTTCACTGTTAGACCCCTAGTGTCCAGAACATACTACACTTACACTGGGTGCTCAGTGAGTATTTGCTGATAGAATCAAGTGAATACTCTATAGGACAGTAGAGTCCTTGAGAAAGGAAACTCTACGTGGAGATGTGGGCAAAAGAGGTACAGATAACGGAAGAGCTTTTTGGTGGAGGAGGGAGTAAACTCATCCTATATGGTCGTGGGCCAGTTCACGTACAGGAAGACAGACTTGTAATCAGTGTCAGGAGATGCTTTTTGTAAAACATTTGTTTTGAAATAAACATAGGCTCACTGACATTGCACAAATAGTGTGAAGAATCTCTTTACCGGGCAGAATTACCCGAGGTAGGAATTAGGGCCATTCTGGAAGAGGTGGGGGAGGTCCCTGCCACTCAGTGTTGGCAAGCTTCGAGTTCCCTGTGCCCTTCCTGGTCCTTCTGGACCTCACATTGCTCTGGTTCTTCTCTGCCATTGTCCTAGAGGCCACTGCTCATACCTGAGGTTGTGGACTTGCATGCCCTGGACAGCCAGGTAACAGGTGAGCTGCACGTGGAGGAACACCTGACTTTCGTGTTCCCACTTTTCCCTCAGGCGCTCCCAGCAGCAGTGCTCATTTCCGCTCAGCACCACCGGCACCGAGGGAGCGTCAGCCAGTGCTGGGGCTGGTGCTGTCGGAGTCACCACAGCTCGTTGCCTTGTAGGAGTGCGGGTCCAGTGTTGCTCCATCTATTTATTTATTATTTTGGTATGAGCAGCCAAAATCATTATTTTTTTTACATGTAGATACTCCTATTTAAAAAATATCAGCACCAAATATTAAAAAGTTAACATTAAGGCCAAATACAATCCCAATTTGTGATCTGTGTCATTAAAACTCAAGGCAAAACAATGTTGCCACTGCCCCCATGTTGGAGTTGTATCAAATTCTTAGTTACTTTAACTGAGTGATTTCCTAAGCTGTCCTGTGAATCTCCTTGTTAGTTTGGTATTTAGGTGAGGTTGATTTGAACTGTCCTAAAAAGAGGGACAGTTTACTTGAAGTTTAAGTCTGGTGCTGGCAAACCTTTCGTTGAAGATCACAGGGACTCTGTCACATCTACTCGCCCCTGCAGCTGCAGTGCAGACGCTGCCTGTGGCTGAGTTCCCCTGACGCCTCCTTTATAACCAAGGCCCGTGGCTCGTGGCCATAGTTTGCTGACCCCTGGTAAATGCATTAACCTGAATCTTTTTCTATGTTAAGATATTTGCTGTGGAGGTACTTGCAAGTCATTTAATGGGGTAATTGTTTCTTTTAAAATTAACATACAACATACCAACAAACAGTGTTGTGTGTGAAGTGTGCTGATCTTAATTGTGGAGCTCAGTGGTAGAGAGTGGGGGTCGGGGGTGAGAAGCATCGGTGTGAGAGAGAAACATCCGTCGGTTGCCTCTTGCGCACTCTCTGTCTGGAGCAGAACCTGCGATATGTGTACGCGCCCAGACTGGAATTGAACCTATGACCTTTTGGTTTACGGGACAATGCTCCCACCAAGTGAGCCACGCTGGGCAGGGCACAATGATTCCTGGTATCTGTAATGTGTATAAAGATGTAAAACAAGGTCTAGATATAGAACATTTCTAGCAGCACCCCAGAAGTTTCCTGGATGGCGTTTCCCAGTGCCAATCTTCCTGTCAGCAGAGGTAACCACTGTTCTGATTTGTGTCATTTTTAGTTAATTTTATTTGTTCTTGGCCATCATTTCAATGGAATCTTACAATGTATAGAGTGATTATTTGTTTTATTTAGAAATACTGGTGAAAAATATTTTATGAAGTTTGGTAGAAGACAGTTCAAGGGGTTTATTCTAATATGATTTCATTCTTTGGTTTTATGCAAACCCCTATAGAATTTAAACTGTGGAAAGTTGTTTGAAGTGTTCTTTTTCTCCCCAGAATGAATGGGTGGTAGATGGTAGGTAGAAAATAGATAGAGGGGAGGGCAAGAATAGTAGGGGAAATATAGAATCTAAAGAACTTGAGACACGTCATAAACTAAAGGGGGGGAATGGTGGGGGTGGGGGTGCAGGGTGGAGGGGAATGAAGGGGGGAATAGAACAACTGTAATGGCATAATTAATAAAATATATTAAAATAAATAAATAAAATAAATAGTTTCTGCCACAAAAAAAAAAAAAAGGAATGAGGGAGTTGACCTGTAAAGTCTGCAACTGTTCAAACTCCAGGAAAAGGAGAACAGAGAAATTAATTGGAGGGTAAGACATAAACACTGAATGAGGGAAACTTCCCTGAGCTGAAGGACAGCAGGTTCCAAAATGAAAATGAGAGTTTACTGGGTACACAGGCAAATGAATAGGAAAGGACTCACATCAAGGCAAAATATAATGAAATATTGGAGGGTAAGGATAAAGAGAAGACTTTAAATGTTTCTGAGGGAATTAAACAGGTCACTTACAAAGGCTCGGGGATTGAACTGCTGTGACACTTCTAAGAGTAGTGGAAGCCAGAAGACAGTGGAGCAACACCTCTGTAATAGTCAGGGAGATAATTTTCAACGGATTCCCTTTCCATCTGAACTGACAGTCAAGCGTGAATGTAGACTCAAGGCATCTCCACGCAGTGAAGTCTCAAAATGTGCCCTCTCGTGTACCCATCTCAGGAATCACCACAGTGACAGCACTTCTATGATGCCGTCTGTGTGCTTCACTTCACCAGTTTAGAGCAACAGCATGAGGATATTACGATTTCTCTGCTTGATAAGTGGGGAAACTGAGAGAATTAAGTTCCCAAGGTCACACAGTTAGGAAGTGGTGAGATTGGGATTTGAACCTGGCTTGTCTTAACTCCACACTATGTGATACTGCCTCTGCTTCAGGATGTGTTCCCCCAAGTGAGGGAAACAAACAAAAAAGCTTCGGGAAGTGAGATCCAGCCCAGGAGCAGGGAAGAGGAGCTCCCAGGTTGAAGGAGAAGGGATGCTCTCAGATGGAAGCAGTGTACAGGGAGGTGCGGAATCCAGCTGGCCTGGACCGGCACAGGCAGGCAGAGGGCTCCAGGGAGAAACAAGGTGGGGACAGGCCCAGGACTGATGTGTTTGGTCACACTGACAGTTGGCTCTCAATGAGAGCAAGAGGTGATGTCTGCATGGAAGAGCAAAAAGACGGGGAAGAACACCTGTGCAGAGAGGTCGGCGTCATACACTATGTGGTTCTGTTTGAAGAGTATTTGTGTGGACATCATAAGGTACATGCTGAATACCGCGTTCCCTAAGCATTGTGATTGGGAGGGTGGGGAAAGTGTGTTCAGGTGCATGAGTCCTTATGTGCAGCCAGTGGGCGTGATGTAGAGAATTAAATCCTCAGCTTTCATAGTAGGAAGTCAGTAGGTTAAAAAATCAATCAATCAATCAAAGTAAAACAAGCAGTATCAGCATAGTATTTGGAAATAGGGCAGTAAATACCAGAAGAAACACTTAAGAAATTTGGAAGGTTGCCTCTGGGGCACTGGAATGAGGGATTGGAAAGGGTGGGGCAGAGGACTGCTCTTGTTTGAGGTAAGAGCTATGTGCTTTTTTTCCCCATAATAACACACAACACATGGAATTATTTTTGACTATTCTCTATAGTTCAGCCCCTATCCTAGCTGTTTGCAAACCTTGCTGGTTCTCTATTCAAAGTAGATCTGAAATCCGATCCCTTCTCACCACCTCCACTGCTGCCACCTGGGTCCAGCCACCACCTCTGTCATCTGCAGTGTTGTAGAGTCTCCGCTGTGGCCTCTGAGTTCCTGTCCCTGCCCTTTCAGCTGGGTGTCTGCTCAGCACCCAGAGTGATCCAGGGAAGTCACAGTCCCGATTCTGTCGCTGTCTTGCCCAGAGCCCCACAGTGGTTCCCTAGTTCACTTGGAGCAAGCCAAGGCCTTTCAGTCACGCCCCCCACATCCACACCACCCTTCCCTGCTTTACGCTTGTCCATAGCACTTACCGTGATCTAACGTGTGAGGTGTGTTACATATTTGTTTTGTTTCTAGTCTGTCTGTCCTTATTGGAATAACCTTACTGCGAGTGGGGAGTTTTTGTTTTGTTCTCAGCTGTATTCCCAGAGCCCAGGAGAGTGCTTGGCACATAGTAGGCTCTGAGTAAAGATTTAATAAATAAGTATTTTTTATTATAAAAATAAAAATTGCATACAAAAATGCTACCAGTTTTTTTTTGCAGTGAGTTAAAAAAAACTAGCTCTCTGCCTCACTAGTCTAAGCATCACAGGCAATTTGAAAGTGAAATCCTGAGGGATCCAGTTGAAAAGGTTTGTTTCCATTTGGAAGATAACCCAGGCTGTCATGAAACTGTGGCCCTTTAACGTAAAAATCTGTGCTGTGTACTATCAATCCTCACTGCAAAATGTATCATACTGTAAGCTGCTTACGACTTGGAGTACTGATTTCCGAACTTTTTGGCAGTTAACACTTCAGACAAGATACTAGCATTGATTTTCAAATCAGATTCTGCTTGGTGCGGGGACATCAACCTCACAGATACCTTCTTTAAGGGGCGAGTTCCTAAGATTCCAGTTCTTGTCAGGAAAGTCACCTCCATCAGTCTTAACCTTCTTTTGTCTCTTATTTGCTCATCCTAATTCATGCCATGTTTTACTGCTGCTAAAGCTATTTGTATTTAATCAGGGTGTTCTCTTTCTCCTATTCTCCCCTCTTGTCACCTGTTTCTTATGAATTGTTTTCATTTTGGGCTTCAAAGTTGTTTGAATACTTAGGTGATGACAGAGTAATTAAGAGTTCTACATGCCTGGTGGTGTTTCAGGTGGGTACCTGTTACATCCGCCAACATTTCAAGGTGGTTCTTTACCTCTCCTCCTCAGGCTTCCGGATCCAGTCTTCTGTTGTTGTGTTGTGCAGTTGTACCCTGCTTTCCCACTAAGTCACGAGGCTTTTGCTTTTAAGAGATGATATTTCATGGTATCATTCTGAGGAAATAAAACAAATTTGGGGAAACACTAGCTAAGAACCAGTCAGGATGCTGTATGTGCAATTTCATATTCAGTGTCCAGTATGGGCCTGCACTTGGTCAACCACTGCCCTGTGGTAGGATTCCATTCTTCTTGTCAGTGTGATGGGAATTGGGTGATTGTCATTTTTGTGAACTCAAGCTGAAAAACCTTAAAATAATTTTTGTCACAAATGACATTGGAGGTGATTAAAATAAAGTGCTGCTGTTCTTGGTGGATGTTTATGACTAATCCATGAAGCTGTAGATACGTAGATTTTCGTAAGATTTTTGACAGCCTCTCCTTGTAAACAAGGATACCTGTAGGCTGGTAGATAAAACAGTTAACAGGACTTAATGTTGGTTGCAGAACTCTTCCTGGCAGTGTTCTAGAGAGACCTAGAACAGCCTGACACAGGTTTCTGCCCTGGTCTCTGGCCTGTTTGTGAATTTGGATGATGACTTAGAGGTGCGTTTGCTCACCAGTGGATGAGAAAGCTAAGAGGAATACCTGAAAACGAAATGGCAGCTAAGGGTTTTAGAAGATCTCAGATGTAGGAATGAGTTGCAGGAGACTTGAAGAATTTTCAGAGTGATAGCTCTTGTTGTCAGGTAAAAGTATCACTATCAAGTTAAAGACTAGATAATTGGCCTAACTGCAGGAGATAGAAAGCCCTTGAAACTTGTGAGCCCATGGGAATTTGTGGTGTGCACTGTAGTTGTCCAAAAAGAACTGAAGGCCTTGGTTACACGGGTGGCAAAGGTCTGGCAGTGCAGCCGCACCACACTGAGTTCAGCAGGACCAGCCAGGTCACATTCGGAGCGTAGCACTCAGTGTCAGGATGTTCAAATGCTTTCATCATGTAGCATTCTGTGCATCCCAAGAAACACATGCAAGTTATGAAGTAAACGAAACAGGTATCTAAAGGCCTTAATTGTGTCTTAAAAATTAGAACATTTTGAAAAGCATGCATCTGTATTTTCCTTCTCTACCCCAGAAGTAACCATCGTCTTGAATCTGTCACTTCCTTGCTTTTTCAAAAATAATTCTGCCATGTTATATGTGTGTTTCTGAGCGATATATTATTTTTGAACTTGTTTTTGAATTTTATTAAAATGCTGTTATATTGTAAACAACCTATATTGTTGTCCAACCTTTGCTACTTGCTATTTACATTCAGCATTGTTTCTAAGATTCAGGTACATCAGTTGTTCTCAACCAGAGTCCCCACCTGGGTCATAGAACACGCAAAGTGATCTGAGTGCCCATTCTGTCACGTTTCCCTAGGACGTACACAGGAGAGGTGCTGTCTCATTACGTACAGTGGATGCTCGAGACTAGGCAGTGGGCTTACCTCTCTGCTGGACCCCGAGTTGTTAGGTGTCACTCTGCCTAGTTAATCATTATGACTTCTGTGGAGTGCTCCATCCGTGAGCATACGGATGCTCATTCACAGTCCTCCTGTGATGAATGTCTGGGTTGTTTCCCAGTCTGTTGCTGCTGCTGCTGTTACTGTGACCAGTTGTGCTGTGACAACTTCGTCATGTCTCTGCGTGCACACGAAGAAATGTTTCACTAGGTGTACATCTGAGTGGTGTTTCTGGGGACTGCCACATTTTAGTGGGGACATTGGTAAACTGCAGTAAATACAGGGGAGGGCAAGTAAGAAAAGTCCCAAGGTATCATAACCAACCTTTATTTTCCTTATTTTCTCAGGGATTGAAGAGGTTAATGACCATTTGCCAGAAGCACTTTCCTACAGATCCCTCAAAATGTGTGGAGTACAATGCTCTCTGAGACCTGTGTACAGTGTGTGGATACTGCGAGCAACTTCAGGGAGCATGGTACGGGCTTCTGGAACTTCCAGCAGGAACCAGGGAAGGAGGAAAATGGATTTTCTAGACTCTGGGTTCTCCCTAATGAAGCTCTTGGTTTTAAGAAGTGTCTTGGCGCTCACATCACACCTGACTGCAAACTGACTTCTGTCTTGCTGATGTTTTAAATAGTTGAAAAACTAAGTTCAAAAAGGCTCTATCCCTAATTTAAATGTGCAGCCAGGGGTCACAGAAGGGGGTTTAAAATGACTCTTTCCCTCGAGACCTGGAAGTTGCAGTTTGGTGATTGAAAGGGTACATTTGAGGGTGAACTTCATTGTTTCTGTAAAATATGGTGCTTTCACACTGTCCTATATGTCATATTTTCAGAAAGTATTTTTATATATCTCCACGAAAATAGGGAACCATTTAACAAAACTTTATAGTCCTTAAATGTTACTGAACGTTTGCCATCCTGATAGAGAATTTGAATGTAAATGTTGTTACGGTTGACTCAAGTGTTATTTTTCTTGCATTTCAAAACTTGCTTTTATCTTCTAAGGAGTGGAAAGTTTTGTCTTTGTTATCTCTTGGGACAGAGAACTGACAGGAAATACGAGTCTGAGAAACAAAGAAGGTATGTTACAGCAACAGAAGTTCAAATTCAGTAGTCTCAGCACATGCAGGTCCAGGTGGGGAATTGGAGCGTCAAGCTAGCCAAGAACGGGGGCATTTTGATGCTGCTGGTCCTTCCTGGACTAGGACCGCCTGCAAGTTCCATCCTTGTCAGACCCACGGTGGATGGCTGTTCCCAGCTCCATCCCTCCAATCAGAATAGAGGTGCCCTTGCCTTCATCACTGCCGGACACAGTAGGCCCTGGGTCTGTTTTCCACAAATCGGGACTTCTGAATCTTGTGTTCTCACACCTGGGGAATTGTGATCAATCACTGCGCTTTAGGAGCTGAGAGGACTTGGTTAATAAGGGAAGTGGGTAAACAGAGTGTTTGTCACCTGTCCACGTACCAGGGGTGGTACTGGATGGTGGTGAGAGTGGGGCTCTGTCCAAAGTCAGAACCTCCAGCCTCAAATTTCAGCTCTCCACCTCCTGACCATGTGGCCATGAGTAACTTAATTTTTCTGAGACTCAGTTTCCTTGTCTGCAAATAGTAGTCAGTCACAGCAGTCCATACCTCCTAGTGTCATTGTTGTGTTTAAGCAAAATGCTTAGCACACTGACTGGTAAATAAGAGTTCAGTGGCTACGGGTTGCTGTGTCCCTGTTATCCAAGTGTCTCTGGAGTAGCTGTCCGGAGCCCCGTGGTCAGGGGCAGTGGGTGCTCCCGGAATGACAGTGGTGGCGTCCGCAGCAGCGGTGATAGACACTCACTGAGCGTTTACTGCATGCAGGTCCTACAGGCTTCCACTTTCCAAGCTTACGAGGGTGGAGGATGTGGGAGCTGAGTCAGCTGATGAGGCAGGTGAATGTAGATTCACAGTCCCCTATTCTGGCCCTTTTGGGGAAGGCGTGAAAGCTGGTTTGGCTCCTTGTGGTCTGTGCCCATGCCTGAGTTTCTGTTGGATATTTGCATGGGTGGTGGCTGAGGCCCCCTGTCCTAGATTGAGTCAGGTTCCTCGTCCCCCAACCCTCCCCACTTCTTACTCTGGAAACCATGTCTTAGACTTTGCAAGGCTGAGACAACAGTCTTGACCAGCGATTTTCTTGCATGCTGCAAGAATTTTTAAGACATGCAATACCTGAGTATTTAGGCAGGGGTCATGACCTTGTTTCCCTTAGGTTGTCATATTTAAAAATAACAACAACCAACACAATAGCCATCTGGTGCAAATGAATCAAAATAATACCTGTGGCTTTTTGTTTTTCGTCAGATTGGCAAAAGACACATTTTATGGTGTGCTGCAGAATTTTAGTAATTATGTGTACCATGATATGAAAAAGGTTGAAAATTACTGATCTGGACCTTTTGTTATATAGTCTTATTGCGCAGGACTTGTTTATACGTCCTGCTGATTGAAGACTGCCCATGTGGCTTCTGTGTACTCACCAGGCCACAGCATGGAAGTCAGTCATTTTCACACTGCCTTCTATTTGCTGTTAACATGCCACATAGAGAAGAAATGGCATCGTGTGACAGTAGTGCCTTCTAAAATTGATCAGTATGGATAGATAGTTTAAAAAATACATGCAGCCCTGGGAGGTGTGGATCAGTGGATTGAGTGCCAGCCTGTGAACCCAAAGGTTGCTAGTTCAATTCCCAGTCAGGGTACCTGCCTGGGTTGCAGGCCAGGTCCCCAGTTGGGGGCATGTGAGAGGCAACTGGTCACTGTATCTCTTCCACACTGATGTTCCTCTCCCTCTTTCTCCCTTCCTTCCCCTGTCTCTAAAAGTAAATAAATAAAATCTTTTTTAAAAAAAGTAATTGTAACATACTATACAGTGCATGTCTGTTAACCATTTTGGGCTTGGGTGGAGGGAGGCAGGTTCAAGGATATAAATCCCTCATAGAAAGTTTTCTGTTTCCCTGAAGCTAAAGATTTCAGATGACTACAAATATCAGGTGGGTAGATAATAAAAAACAAGAACTCTTGCATTCTCTGAATCACGAAAATTTAATTTAGAAGATAACTACATGATGTTTTTAGCTTGTGCTAAAACAGTGGTGGCATTCTTTTCAAACCAGTCGCAGTCCTGCCCTGGCCAGCGTGGTTCCGTTGGAGCGTAGTCCGGTAAACGGAAAGGTCTCAGGTGTGATTTCTGGTCAGGGCTTGTATGAGAGGCAACCGATGGATGCCTCTCTCAAGTCAGTGTTTCGTTCCCTCTCTCTCCCCCTCCCCCTTTCTCTAAAGTCAATAAGCATGCCCTTGGGTGAGGATAAAAATAAAATCAGTCACCACCCTGAAATACTTAGTGTTCTTCCCTTTCTTCTTCCTCACTCCCTCAGACTCCTATGCAGAGGAGTTGTGTCTTCTTAATTCAGATTTAGTGAACCACTGGTTTTCCCTCAGAAGTCAATATTACGCTTCTGAGGGAGGAGTATCCTTGTTATTTGCAAAGACTAAGCAGCAATGTTCAGCATAGAGCCTGTGGCTATCGGGAAGTCTGGCAGTGATGAGAGTCTTTGGGGAAAATAAAGCTGAGGTCAAAGGCAGTGGACACAGGGCGGGGGTGGGAGATGAGGAGAGACCATCTAGTTCTTGTAGGAGAAGTGGGGAGGTCCAGAGACACCAGAGCGAGGAAGGCAGCCACCTCTAACAAGAGACCGTAGGGTTTTGCTGTGGGCTCTGAATCAGATTCAGGAGGAACAGGAAATGGGATTGATAATAATCCACTTCTTTATGTCAGTTTCTCCTTTCTGGTGACTTGCTGACCTACTCTAGCACTTTAGATTGCCTTTACATTCCACCTCGGTGAATACTTTAGAAATAAAACTGTCTTTTTATTTTGAAAGTAAGCTGCTTGGAAAAGACTGAATTATACTGAACTGTAATTTTAGCTCACGGCCTACGAACAGTCTCCCTCTCAGAACATCACGATGACCATTAGCAAGTCTTGCCAGCCCAGCTCTCTGCCTCCCACGACCAACTTGTCCGGAGAAGGGTTGTACTTATATCAACATCCTCCTGATCCCACCTATCCATCAGTCTTATGGGAGTTAACGTCCTTATTACTGCTTTATGTTCCTTTTACGTGCTAACTATACCCCAACAGGCAACCACACATTATCACATTAACAATATTGAACCATCCTTTACATGAGAAAACACGCTCATAATGATGCAACAGATGCCCCACTACTCTTAACCAATAACTCCAGGATTATTCTGGGGACTTTGTATTATAAATACAGTTTAACCAAAAATTAGGTTGAGAATCTCATAATAGAATCTAAAAATTATTTTAAAATTTTAAAAAAGATTTTATTTATGTTTAGACAGAGAGGAAGGCAGGGAGAAAGGGAGGGAAACATCACTGTGTGATTGCCTCTCATGTGCCCCCTACTGGAGACCTGGCCTGCAACCCCTGACTGAGAATTGAACTAGCAACCCTTTGGTTCACAGGCCTGTGCTCAGTCCACTGAGCCACACGAGCCAAGGCTAAAAATTTTTATTTATTGAAAAGCATGCTAGAACTGCTAACTCATGTCCCTACACCTAAGAGTGTGGCTTTTGCAAACTCTGGAAGTTGTCCCTTGGTCTTAGGAGCCAAAAAGTCTGTGCAAATTTAAAAAAAAGTAAGAAAGCTAATTGCCTCCTCAATAGTAATTTCACTACTTATACTAATTATACCAGTCACGATAACTGTCTCCAATATTCAGAAATACGTTGTACACCAAACTGTAGAAACTGTAATCTCATGCACCTTTATCACCAGCCCAATCCCCACTATGTAATGTTTACCTCCTCTAGCCAGGAAATAGTCATTTCTAACTGACACTGAATAACAATTCGAACTATGAAGCGATCACTCAGCTTCAAACCAGGCTGATTCTCAGAGGTATTGACTCATACACCAGTAGCCCTCCACCACTCGTCACATGACCTGTTACGGAGTTCTCAATGTGATACATGCGCTCAGATCCAGACATCAGTGTGTTCTTCCAGTGCCTCTAGAATTTCTCATCCCCGTACTGATCCTAGTTACCACCCACAGTCTTTTTCAATTTATTGGGTGAGAAAGAGAAGGAATTACGTTATTCCTGTTAACAGGCTGATGATACAGCTGAGCAGATGCTAATACTGCCGCCCTGAGAGCAATCTTATGTAGTTGTATCGGAGACACCAGATTTATTACACCAGTAGCATGACGCTTATTTAACCCTAACACATGAGGATTACAGCAGATCTTCTTACTCAACTTTGACAACGCCAACTTCCCGATAACCGGATTCCTCCTAGTTGCTATCAGTGATTCAGCCCAACTGGGGTTACCCACGACTAGCCTCTGCCATGGAAGGCCCCACACCCATCTCAGCACTACTCCACTCAGGCAGGCATTTCTCTACGGACCTGACTGTACCCACTGACAGAAAACCTAATTCAAACAATAATGATACCTAGGAGCAGTCACCACACTGTCTATAGCAGTTGGGTTCCTCACCCAGAACAGCATTAAAAACTATAGCTTTCCCCATCTCAAGCCAACTAGGCCTGATAATAATCACCATGAGCCTTAACAAACCCTCTCTAAGCCTTTCGCCGTGTGTGTACATGCATTTTTAAAGCCATACTGTTCTTAGGTTCAGGGCCTGTTATTCACAGCCTACATGATGAACGAGCTATTTGAAGGGTGGACGGGCTGTTCAAAGCACTGTCCTTCCCTCTCACTGCACTCGTTATGGAAGCCTGGCACTGTCAGGAATACTTTTCCTAACAGGATGTCATGCCAGCATCTTCCTGATCCCACCTATCCCTCCTGGAACCTAATTACATTAAAATGCTAACTCATCATATGCCAACACCTGACCGCTACTAATTACTCTCATCACTGCATCCCTAACAGGAAAGTTATATTTAAAACTTTACATTAGTGAGTGAGATTGACAATCTTGGCAGCAAGCCACAGTACCTCCATTTCCGTGTTACCCTCATAGCAGGTAATAATCTTGTCCAAGTTTTACAGCCCACTTTAGATGTGGGGCTGGGTATATAGAACCCAGTTTTCTTGATTCTTTTCCCTTGTGCCACTGTGTACCTCAGATGCTGTAAGACTGGGCTATCTGACCTGCACTGAAGGACTCGAAGTGAGTTTTATAAAAATACCATTTTAGCTGTGGCTCTCTTGGTCAGAGCATCGTCCAATAGCCAAAAGGTTATGGGTTGATTCCCAGTTATGGCACATACCTGGGTTGCCTGCAGATTCTTGAAGTTCCCTTATAATTACAAAATAAACCATGTTCATTCGGCCAAGATGTTCACAGGAGTACAGGTGGCAAAGTTTGAGAGAGTAAAATATGTAAAGGAATTATTTTGTCAGTGGTTGGTTTAAATTGCATGTGGGGAACTACATTTCTAAATTATTTCTAAAAATATTTTTGTAACAGTGACATGGCCAAGGCAGCAGATGGGGACAGGGCTCCTCAGTGGGGTGGGGCCTGGTCCAGAGCCCCAAGAGGAGCTAGAGATCCTGCAGTGGAGCCAGAAGCCAGGTCAGGGGACTCTCAGAGTGTGGTAAGGAGGCAGGAGGGCGGTGGTGGAGGGCTGGTCCGCGCCCATCCTGACTCTGGTGCACAGGGACTTGGGCAGCCTCTCTGCAGGCTGCAGGAGCATGCACGTCTTTCACAAAAGCCATGACCCAAAATAATCAGCATTGAGGGAAATAAGACATGCAAATACTTTGCCTAGCCAGGCAAATACTTTGCCTAGCCAGGCAAATTGGCAAGTGCCATGAGCAGCCAGGCTCATGGATGATGGCAAAATGGACCCCAAGTTTAGGAATCTGTGGAAAAGGGGTGTAGGGAAGACAAGTAGTGTGGACACAGCAACTGAGCAATGGAAGGAACCAAGATGAGGGTCCCAAGAGGGATTGTGCTGGGCCTCAGCCTGCCTCTGGCCAGTGCTGTGAGGGCCGGGACTGCATGACCATGTGGGAGGTGGGAGTGGGGTCAGTGTGATTGGCAAGTGTGGCAAAGGCATCTGTCACTGGACCCTGAGGTGTGTTAACCCTAGAAAAAAACATGTCTTCTCCAGCAGACCCAGGGCGGCTGAGGACTGTGAGGATCACTGGAAATCTACCTGTGGTCAGTGGTGACTGGGCTTAGCCCACCACAGGGGCTTCACATTTTTTTTTTTTAGATGTTGCCAACATGTACACACTGGGGTCAAAGCCCCTCTTATGAGCTCACTGGCTCCGCCCCTTCACCTGGTTACCACGGACATTGGCTAGAGAGATTCCACCATTCTACCACATTCTGAATTGTTGGAATTTGAAGAGTGAGAAGAGAGGAGAGTTGTGTGAGCTGTTGGAGAGGAAAGAGTAAAGGGATTCAGGAGCATTTTTTTGCCTTAGTTGGTGCATGAGTACACCTGAGAGACTGGCGAAGACCAGGTACCACAGTACCATCACCAGGACCACAGTGCCACTGAGATCCAGAGAGTCCACCACTGGGACCACTATGCTGCTGAGGTCCAGAGTGTCCACCACCATGACCAGGGTATTGCTGAGGTTTGCAGCATCCACCACCATGACCACGGTGCCGCTGAGGTCCAGAGCACCGAGCAGAACCTTAGTGCCACTCACTGTGAAAGCTACAACCAGTAGGACGTCCATGTCACTTGACAACCACCAGGCCTGTATCCAGGTGAGCTGGGACCCAGGAGGCTTCTGAACAGTGGACACTAATGCTAGGCCCAGACCCCAGGAACTAGGAGTACTTCCCCTAAGGGAGAACTGTAGAAGCCCCCTAGATCGCATTTTCCTTTAATAAATACTG